ATGGTCTCCTCCAATTTTATGATTCTATTGCATAAAAATCCCAGCTAGGCCAGAGAATGGCTGTGAAACAATACCTACTTTATAAAATTTATTACCATTATTACTACTACTACCACTTGGGCAGATCTATCATCTTAAACAAAGCAAGACATTTTGATTCAACCCTGCCTCAGGCACTAAAATAGCTATGGGCAGTTCCCCTTTAAGGTCTAAGAAGGTCCCAGAGACAGTATGCCTCTATCAGTTGCTCAGGTGCACAAGATGGGAGAATGCAGTTGCACTCACGTCCTGCTGTGGGCTTCCCACGGGCAAGTGGTTGGCAACTATGTCAACAGCATGGGCCTTTGCCATGGTCTGATCCAACATGACTCCTTCAGTGTTCTCGTGACGAGATAACCAGGCAAAAATCATCAACAACCAGTTAAGCCAAAGGAGAAGGTCTGCAGGACTTTGCCCTTTTCTAATCGCTCCCTGTGCTTCAAAAAATATAATAAAGACCACATTGCAAGCAAAACCAGAGAGAATCCCCTCACTCCCCCAGAAATACTCCCATCAGTCTATGGAATCTCTACTTTTATTTACAACCATCCGATCATTTTTGTTCATTCCTCCCTTGGCTGTGGACACAAGGAAGAGGGTGACAGACAAGTTTAATCATGGTTGAAGGAGAAGAAAGTCTGCGTGTGAGAGAGAGAAAAAGGGAGGAGAATGCAGGCAGAAAGAGACACAGGCAGGCAGCCACCATGGAGGAGTTATCTTAATAGCACTATGTACACATTAATCATTTGTATATACAAGCTGCAACAGCAAGGAGGCTGGGACTACAATTTCAAAAGCCAGGAGGATGAGGGGGCATGTGAGAATGAATGAGAAAGAGAATCTGAGACAAGGGTGGGGTATGGGTTAACAGAAACACAAAGGCAGACAGGCACAAACTGGACTGAAACACTTTAACTAGACAGTTTCTTTGTTGCACTGCTGAGGGTCTCCTTCCCTCCCACCTGCACACACCAAGTATATGTCTCTGAAGGGCTGGAGTTCTTCCAGCTCAACCCTTGGAAGTGTTATGAACTAGGGGAAGGGGAAGGAGCATGGGGAGAGGGGGGAAACAGTTTTTCAGATCAAATGCAGAAATGAAGGTTGGAAATTAAGCAGAAGAGCAAAGCCCAAAAGGAAAATGTTGGTAGGAAAGCAAACAGCATAGATGTCCTGTACCAAATCAGAGACACACAGCCAGCTGATGTGTAAGAGAGGAAAGGAATTCTATCCCCAAACATGGGTTAAGCTCGATGGTCTCAGTGTAGTGGTGGGAAGGGTTTTTCCTTTTAATGGAGGCACAAATCAGTGGCATGACAATGGATAAGATGGTGGTCCCTCCTCCCATCCCACTCCTGAAGTTCTTAGAATTAAGTGGTGGAAAAGGTCCTCCACCAAGGAATGTGCAAAGGGAGAAAATAATTAAAAAGGGGGAAGGTTGACGGAAGAAAAGGAAAAACAGCAGATAGTGTCCCAAGGTTACGTTTTTGTGAAACTCCCCTAATTCTTCTGGACTAGGCCTTTGGATTGGTCACGGAACAGGTGCAGGGAGGCCTTAGGATTGGCTTCTGGTGGTACCAAGTGACAGGCTTGAAAAAGGAAGAATCCACTGCACCCAAAACAGGGTACACAATACCAACGTAACCAAAGTTTTTCCAAGAGGAATGGGAAACCAGCAAGCTGTTTGCCACTCACATCTCTGGCTCCAACTCGCAATCACTGTACAAGGTGCGTCAGCTCCCAGCTCATCAGCAATCCTTTATAGCTGCCCAAATGACAAAGAGGATGAACAGAAGGCCAGGACAGGGCAGTGAACAAGGGATGAATCTTAGCAGCAGCGACTCCTTGGCCCAATTCTGCCATGGCCAAGAAACGTTTCAGCAGCAGGAAAGAGCAGCTCACTGATTCTACAGTGTGCTCTTTTGCAGTGTCCCAGCTGAATCTCTGTAGTGTAGCTCAAGTGGTTGAGGAGCCCTTGGTTGTTGGGATTTCCACTTGGATTTGACAATTTTGACTGAAGGGTCCCAACCTCCCACGTAACTTTCTGCTGCCCCTCTATTCCAGCACAACCCCATATAGTTCCAACATCTGACGGTGGTGCTCAATAATGAATGTCAGTTTCTTGCTGCCCATCCCAGAAAAAAAACCCTCCAGTAACAGTTGCCTCCTCTTAAAATTGGTGCAGACAAGATTCTGTTGCCCAAGGGGGTTGAGAGGAACTTTTGCTGGCACCAGGGCAGCCCCAGATTTCTGCAGTCTTGAGTTCTTCAAGTCCAATTGTTCACATCTGGCAGCATGCCAGGCTCAGACTGACAGCCTCAGGGAGGGAAACCCCTGAGTTGCAGCAGGATTGCAGAGCTGAGATAGCAAAATGGGGCACTGGCACAGCAGGAAGGTGGCACGGAAGATGCCAGCCCCAAAGTGGAGAGAAGAAGAAAAGGGTGGGCAGGACTGGCAGATGATATGCTGGGAGAAGCATCAGCAGCAACAGCAGCAGCTGGGAATGGAAAGGAGTTCCAGTAGGCTCAGGAGAAGTTCTGGACGGGATGGCTGACCCTCATGCAGGCCCAGTACATCGCTCGGCCCAGGCAGACCAAAGCCAGGAGAATCACCAGAGCCCAGGAGGCATAGATTCCACTGTACTGCTGGGCTTGCTTCCACGTGCCAAACTAGAGACAGAAAGAGAGGCAAAGAGGAATCAGCACAAGGGAAAACAATTTCCAGGATCACTTTTGCTACTAACAAGGCAATTTAAAATTTTAACTGCAGACTGGTCTGATGCCACAAAGAGTTGTGGTTGCACCTGCTGACTTAGCCTCTCCCACCTTTGGCAGCACAGAGCTTGGGAGGAGGTGCACGCACATACCTGCTGTATTCATACATACTATCCCCATAACCCAAACCCTCAGGTACAGCCAATGTGTCTTCAAATCACACCTGATGTAAGTACCTTGAAGAATAAACATGCCACTGTTTTATTTCCATTTTAAAGTTATCCTTTTTAAACCAATTAATTAGTATTTGCACTGTGTAATGTCACTCCTTTTTTTCCTCAGAAAGGGTCAAACAAACAAAAATATGAGAGGATAACTAGAATGACTCCAGTAGAAGCAGGAAGTAGTGATCCTGTCGCAGTCTCTACCTGCAGAACAATGGTTAATCTAATCAGGATTTACTTTCACTCAGAGACAGAAAAAGGCCAGAATGATTTGTGGGCTAAACAACTACTTCAAATAGTGATATATCATTTGAGGATAGAAAAAGGATACTGTTGTGAACTACAGACAGGAAATATGTGCCTCTACCGTTGTTGTTAGAAGCAACTCCCATCATATCCCACTTATTTCTAGGGTTTGCTCAATGAGCAAACAGGGTGAGAGGGCATAGCCTCTTGAATTCTGGGATGGGGAGGTGGTGCTCCCCCTGCTCTAGTCACTGGCTATTTTTTTACTGTCTTTGGAAACTTCCCTACTGGGAAATTTTGACAACTATTTAATTGACCAATTAAAACTGAGAAAGCCCTGCAGTGCAAACCTATACATGACAGACAAGGAATGTGTGGGTCTCCATATGTTGTTGGACTGCAGCCTCCATCATCTCCCATCATTGGCTATGTTGGAAAGGGGTGATAGCAGCTGCAGTTCAGTAATATCTGGAAGCCCATGTGTTCCCTACTTCTGAATACAGAGCAATGTTTCTCCAGGCTTCTGGTACAACTCTGGGCTCTGATCCTGGAATCAGGTGGATCTCCAGATCTTGTTGGACTACAATGCCCAATATTCTTCACTACTGGCCACTGGGACTTGCAGTACAAAAAGTCTAGAAAGCCAAACAACTCCCAGCCCAATTCCATACATTTCACAATGGAAGTTAAAGTGCTGAAACCTGTTTTCGTTTCCAATCCAAATGCCAACAAGGGCCATGTGGGAATTGTGTCCTCTTGCTCCTACTCACCGCAAGTCCTGTTGCTGTCACAGCCATTAACAGACCCAGTAGGAAGCAGCAAAAGCATCTCTTCCGGGGGTAGCGGCGCCCAATGGAGGAGCTGGCAGCAAAAAGGAGGACATGGGAAAACCTTTTGATTTCCTGAAATGAGCTCTGTTACAGGTCTCAGCTCCCACATTTAAGCTCTCAAGGAAACAGTGTTTCTGCAGGAAGCTGTTGGACTGGCCCATCCAGACCAAGTGGCAAACTTCTGCTCCAGAGCCCCATGGACATGCACCTCTTATCTCAAATGTCTTGTCTCAAAAGGTACCCTCCTTTTGGTCTGTTGCCCCCCCCCCAGCAAAAACTCCATCCTGAACCCAATATCCAATACAGCTTGTAGATCTGAGCACTCAGGAACTGTTTTTCAGCCCTTTCTCTTAACCCCTGCCAGTGTTGCCACTCTGCCTGGGAAAATTCTTCCCTTCATGCCTTCTTGATTGAACAAAAGTAGGTGAACTCACACTTTCCGGCAGTGGGGACATCGGGCTAAGGTGCGGTCTGTAAATTCTGTCCACTAGAAGGAAGAAGAGAAGGAGGGAAAAGAGAAAGGATGAGGAAATGTTAGTAAACTGCAGAAAGAGTCCTTTATCTGATCCCCAATGTGTTCACCTGCCAATGGAGCAGTGTATTAGGGGTTTGTCTGCTATTGATTTACCAAATGAAGTGTGCAAAAACAGAAAGGTCAAGATTATAGCTTACAGCCATTTCAAAATTTCTATCAGAACCATCTTACTCCTTGGTTATAAGCATCCTGGCCAATCCATTTGGCAATTGCATTTCAATCATGCCTGTCTTCCAAGGAGATTAGAGGAAAGTATGTGGATTCCCAACCCATTTTATTGTTTTTTGCTGTTGTGCGTTTTCAAGTCATCACAGAGTTTTCTTGGCAAGATTTGTTCATAGAGGATTTGCCTTTGCCTTCCTCTGTGACTGAGACAATGTGACTTGCCCAAGACAACCTAGTGAGTTTCCATGGATGAGTGGGGATTTGAACCCTGATCTCCAGAGTTGTAGTCTAACAATCAAACCGCTACACCACACTGGCTCTCAAACAATTTTGTTGCTGTGTGCCTTCAAGTCATTTCCAATTTATGGCAACCCTAAGGCAAATTTATCACAGGGTTTACTGGGCCTGAGACAGTTTGATTCACCAAATGTCCCCCGGTGAGTTTCCATGGCTGAGCAGGAAATCAAACTCAGATCTCCAAAGTTGTTAGTCCAATGGTCAAACCCTTATACCATGTTGGTTCTCAATCCATTTTAGGTTCATGAAACTCCTGCAAGATAGATTAGGCTTAGAGGCCACATAGGAGGCTTAAAATTACTAACTGTGTGTGTTTTTCCTGGTACTGTATAAATCCCACACACTGACCAACTTAATTGAGCCTGACCACATTTTGGAGGTAGAATAGTTACTTTGTGTCAGGTTATGGGACAACTGTAGCAAGTTGGGGGTGCTTTTTGCCCCCCTTGAACCCTCCAAGGGTTGCATGGATTACAGAAAATCCCAAAAACTCAGTCCACATACAGTTTTGAAAAACTGGTAAATTCTGATGTTGAACAGTGTACAAGAAAAACCCAGCAACCTATCTGAAAGACAAATTGCCCTCCTGGAAAATTCTAGGTGAGACAATTCATTATTTTGGAGGACTGAAACTGAAAAAGGGTGGCCTGGTGAGTCTGGAGAACTATCAAAACAGCCTTAGAAAAGAACCCTGGGCCAGCAAACATTTAAGTACTCGACCTGATAGTCCCAGACTCTTCTGTGTCTTTACTCAGCCTCCTTCAAATTTCACTTACCAAGAAATTATTTTTGCAGTGGCCACAGTTGACACGCACACCAACTGGCTGGGGCTCAGGACTCAGAGGACCGGGATGCACTGGACCAAGGTTAATAACTCTTTTACTGGAAAAACAAAGACAAAAAAGTTCAGATGTCCCTCCTCATCAGCCTTTTCTTCCTGTTCAGAGCATCACAGAGCATCTGCTTCCCAATCCAAAGCTATTATTATTCCTTTATTCTCCATCAAACCATTCATAAGTGTGTATCAATTAGCTTCTACTGGTCAAACAAAGCCCCTTCATCCACCCTCTTCTGTTTGGGCCTGCTGATCCAGCTTGACAGAATTTCCCATTGATGCTGCTGTTGCTTTCAATATCCTAAATGCCTGCCCTCACACCAGTCCTGCACCATTGCTCCCTGTCCCCTCCTCCATAATGATCTCTCCCCTTTCCTTTTGGGATAGTGCTTTTACAGTTCCTACATGCAACAAACAATGTACTTGGAAAATTATAATTGCACAATGCAACAGACATCTTTCACAAGTCCTATAGTTGAATATTCCTGCAAGGCAGGAGGTTGGACATGGTGGCCTGTGTGGCCCATTCCAGCTCTTAAGATTCTATGAAACCTTGCTTCCCAGTATGGAAGCTTTCTTCTCTCAGATTTTGCATTTCATTTTGCATTTCTAACACCTCACTAAAGTTTTCAGGAGGAGGAAGTGCTTAAGAATAAGGCATTTTTGCCCTTCCTATTGGCCAGCTGACCCTCAAGACAGTGCCATAGTAGGGGAGATCCCTGCAATAGCACCTCCTTATGAACAAGGAGTGATCAGAGGTTCACTTTCAGACATTTAAACAACAAAAATACACTACCGGTTTTAGGTGGAAAATAACCAGATTTTCTATTAAAACAGGGTATGGAAGGTGTTTGTCATGTTTTAGAGGGAAACCATACCCCTACAGGTACCATTCTCCCATTTGTGGGTGGGTGACTTTGAGGCCCATAAAGCCTTGGCAAGGAGGCTCTGCATTATTCCCACCCCAGGTATACAGCAATCATTTAGTATTTTTGGTGGTGAACAAACCACCAAAAATAAGATGATGCCACAGCCTTTAGAAGAGCTCATAAATAAAAGCCTCCAAATTAAGGTGAATTCTGCTCCAGACAAGAGCATTTAGATGGTATCTAAATGACAATGAACACAATGCATAATAATGGTGTCTGGGGAGTGAATTTCAGAAACTAGGAGCTACCACAGACAAGGCTCTGTCCTAAGTAGGAACACATCTCACATCAGAACACAGGGCTGCCTGATGCCTGAGCAAAAGTTCCTAACAAGGCAGGTTTTAATAGCTACTGTTCTCTACAAATCACTATTCCCATTTTCTTCTCCTCTGGCCCACTGCTGCACCTACCTATACCTCTGCTTTAAAATACCTTTTCCATATCTTTCAATATCAAGTGTGAACTGTGGTACTCTGCTTTCCTCTTGAAAAGAAGAAAGCAAAGAACTTTACTTCATGTTGGATTCCATCCTCCATGACTGATAGCTTTCTAGCAATTCTTACCACCACATCTCTTACTGAAACACACCTGTCATAACATGTCAGACTAATTACAGTTAAATATTTCTAGGCTGTGCAACTGTCACATTCCCTAACCAACACAGCAGAGCCAGAGGTCTGGAATTCAATCACAGCTGAACCAGACATTTCCTTGGCTCAGAACCTCTCCACTCTCTTCCCTTACCAGTAGGTCCGAGGACAAGCAATGCGCTGTGACGTCACCTTGCAGATTAAGAGGCAGTTGCAGGGGCATCTCACATACTTTTTACCAGGTGGGGCATTTTTTATTGGCTGGAGCAAGAGAAAGAAAGAAACAGGATCCCGAAGTTAAAAGTTATAAGGCCAGGGTACACATCTCGGTTTAAGAAGTAGCAGCAAAGAAATTTTATATATGTGGGAGCACTGATCAAAGCACCCTGTGGAAAGCTGAGATTAATTAAATAGCTCTTATCCACACATATTTCAATTGCTCAAGGCTGAATTAAGATCTCAAGCAGGACAACGTGCCCAAGGCAAGTACAGGGCCATAAAAAAGAAACTGTAGGAAGTACATCACTTGTGGGCTGCAAAAGAAAGCCAGAGTGTGAAGAGGGCTCAATGTAAGTGGTAGCTAAGAAATTTCCTGAACAGGTTAAGCAGTGGGGGAATGTTATGGAAAAGTCTCACACAGGACCAGAATACTTGGTTTGTAAGAAAATTTGGTGGTGCTGATTGTGATTATGAACTGAGTCAGAAAGTCAGCAGAGACAAAGAAGGATGGTATTTTGCTTTCAGAATTATATTGTCCTGTCAAATGTTCTGATCACAAGTCTCTTAAAAGAAATTCAGAAGACAAACACGAATGCCATTGTTATAAAAAAGAACACTGTAAGAGACTGTCTTGACAAATGGTCATGAGAGAAACTCCAGTTCTACCCCAAACCTTTTCCACTAATTTCAAACATTTATTGAAAAATGCTCCACTACCCAAAAGAAACAAAACAAACAAATACCCAGTGACCACCTTCAGACAGATTTTGGAAAAAACAAAGCATGGAAGGAATACTCGTTCATCTTATAATGCATAAGACACACTAAATAACTGACAATCACAGGAACTGGAGCACACAGAAACCAGACACACAAGTAATTTGTCTTTTAAATTTAGGACATCTATAGTGTTTCTTTCTACAACTGCTAAGATTTAAGGAGCATTTCTGGACATTGCATGCTTTTGCATCTAGCAGTTCGAAAGCTTGCAAATCCAAGTAGATACACAGGTACCACTTCGGTGGGAAGGTAAACAGCGTCCTGTGCAATCATGCTGGCCACATGATCACAGAGTAGTCCTCGGACAATGCTGGTTCTGCGGCTTAGTAAGGGAGATGAGCACCGCCCCCTATGCTCAGACATGACTTGACAACCTTGTCAACTGGGAATACCTTTACCTTTACCCAGGTTCATATATACATGATCCTTCTTCCTCCTCTTAACTGAGTACTAATATAACAAACAAGGCACCCCAATGTGGTGTCCTCCAGAAATTCTGGACTACTACTTCCATAATCCCTGAGAACTGCCCCTGCTAGCTGGCACAGGTGTGTTGGATTATGACTTCTGTCTTCTCCAGACAGAATGGACAAAGTGATTATGAGAACAGGAACACAAAAATTCTGGATAACATCATGTCAGAGAAGGCTAGTTTGTGGAGTAAAATTCCTGTGTGGTTCCAGATCCAATCTCCACCAAGCCCAACATTTGGGGAAGAGTGACATCTCATTGATAGAGCACATACTTTGTATGAAGAAGGTTATTGGTTCAACCTTTAATCTTACAAAAAGTGATCCGAGAGTAGTTGATGGGAAGACCACTCCATGCCCAAGACCCTAGAAAGCCGCTGTCAGTCAACAAACAAACAAAAAAAGGAACATCTAGAAATTAGGGCATCAGCTCAACTGATATTTGTGAGAACAAGGCTTTATACTAGCACCATGAGTATGCAAGGCATTATACTTAAGGGCTGCAATCTCTGCCTTAAGGACTTCTAGGCTACATTGAACAAAACATCCATAAGGAAAAGGAACCAAATGCCAGAAACAAAGCATATGGACTGTGCAAGGAGAGTCTGTGGTTTTTTTAATTCTTGTTGCAGTCCTCTGAGGTAGATTTCGTTTTTGTTAATGGCAGCCTGGGGTGGGGTAGTCTGGAAAGAGGCTATCAAGACTACTTGCTGAATTCATAGCAAACTCAAGGTGTAATTCTATGTCCAAAGTCCAATGATCTATCCTGCTTAACCACAGCTTTGTTTGATTTTAACACTCATAAATGGTGTCTTACTTTCAGTATTAGAAACTGAGCAAACTGCTATCAGATAGGCTTATCCAGGTATTATGTGTAGGGGAAAGGGATTAATTTCATTTCAGATATCCAGCATCCAGAATCCAGCCTCAGATATTTGATTTTAGACTATGGATGGTGTCCAAGTAGCAACACATCACTCCAGCTCTGTAGAGTCTGCTTCCCAAGGATTTAAAACTGCTACAGGTTGGCAATCCCAACTTTCAGATTTATAATGATTTAAGATGTTATGCTTCCCTCTCTTTTTAAGGAAAATGGAAGACTTCAAGATCAAGCAACCTTGCAAAAGAATGAACAGAGAGAAGTAAAAGTAAAGGAGGATGCACTGGATGGTTCCTAACTTAATGGAACCAGATTGCA